GATTTTCAACCTTAGTAGCGTTAAAAATGAATAACAGGATTGGTGTCTGAGCGTCGCGACGACTATTAATTGCTCGCGGATTGCAAAGCGTACAAAAACACAACTAAGTTAGAATTATTTCTGCATGATATAGAATTGATTAACTTAGTAGCGGTTCTGGTAAAATAAAAAAAAAGAATAGGTTGGAAAGCGAAGCAGAGGGTTATTATTTCATTAGAGCTTTCATTTGGTATTCATTGACTGACCTAGCCAGCAATCTTAAAGCGACGTGATTACAAGCCTTGTTCACGCAATGATCGTAACTCAACTATTTCCATACATTGCCATCAAAACTGCATCACCTCACTGGATGTTCACCCACTGCCCCTCAGCACTGATAATCAGTAATCAATCATTGAACACTCCGGACGCACCGAACAGACAACAGCAGGAATGAGAAATCTGACTCCGCGTTTTTTCCCCATTCCCGGCGCTTACTCGGCGCTTACTCGACAACCTCTCTGAAGTTTCTAGAAACAGTTGACGCAGACTCTATCGTGTTGCGGCACAAGAAACAACTTAAACTTTTATTGGCTGAATTAAATTTGCACGATACGAACCTGGATTTGAAATGGCGATCCTACAATGCTTCCAAAGCAGATTCGTGGCGCTCGCTCGAACACGAATTCGCAGCCTACACTTTTTCATAGAAGCTTCTAGGAAGAAGCCAACGCCTCGTGTAAATAGCAAGGCCATAGCGATGGATTTTCTACGTCATCCATCAGAGATCAGCGACGGATTGGGTAAGCGTTCGGATGAGGCTGATGTTCACGCTGCTTGAGCTAGAATCTCAGCCGAAAGACGAAGCATCAATTTTATCCAATATCTGCTTTATGGTCGCAGTGGTAAAAAATCTACCACTGCGGGCTGTTTTTTCTAGGGCGTGTTGCCCACTTCATGCAAAGGCTGTCTGAGAAAAAAGAGAATTGAATTAGAATTAAAGAAGGCAGGCAACTCCTCGAATAACTCCCGCCGATAGTTAAAGCTAAGTAAAAATTCTCGGATTTAAAAATTCGTTTTTCGCTTGACTCTTCGCATGGAGTGAACATGAGAAAAGACATGCAGATTATCGGAGTGCAGATTTAATTTTTTGTTTCTGTGGGAGGTATTTTGTTTTATATTTCAATTTATCCAATTCTTTTATTTAAGTTAGGGTAGGGTGACTGGGTTTTAAAGTGCGTTGCGCAAAAGTAGACGCGCAGGCCATTTACACAATATACTCCGACAAAAATTCGATGAGAGCGTGGTAACGTCCATAAATGAATCTTTTAATTGCTTCATTGTCACTCGTGCTTTATCATTGTACGCTATACCTTAATAGTCATATGTACAGTGCAGGTGCGAAATATCATCAGTGCACTCTCGGAATGCAAACCATCCTTTGTGCTGTGCTCACTCTGTCTTCACGCCAATATAAGCTTCATAGATTTTTATCTTCCCCAGTTTTGTGCGATGAAGGTCAAGTACTTTATTGCGTGGCAAAGCCCCTCGGTAATAAAATTGGCATGAACGTCTCGTCTTTTGCCTATTTTAAGGTTACAGGAATTCTCATGCGGATGTGAGCTTTGTCAGCTATGAATCTCATACTTTAAAATGTCACTTCGTGAAATTCCGATAAATTATGTACAGTAGAATCTCGTTAATTCAAACTTTCTTAATTCAAAATCGCAGATAATTCAAACTAACTCGCAGGTCCCGTCCTATGTGCTTCCTGGAAGAAAACTCACGGTAATTCAAACTTTGCATTATTCAAACCATGTCCTGGTCCCCCCGGGTTTAAATGAACGAGATTCCACTGTATTTAAGTACAGCGCTCATAAACTTCGATCACTAAGAGTATACCGGCTCCATATTTTTATAAAGGAAAAAACGTACTTATGATGCTTATAATAGCTTATCAATCATACTGGGGTGTTCTTTACTCGGTGAAACAATCTCTCACCGAGATAATATCAATCTGAAATTTCTATTTATAGAAGGATTTTGTTCTGCTAGCAATCTGATGAATGCCATTGTTAGTTTTCAATCCGCGTGCCCTCCAGCTCGTGCTTGTTTGGAATATTTTATTTTATAATTTTTCGAAAGCGATCAATATACCAAGAATTCGCACAATTTAAAAAAACCTGATTGCCTTTGCGGCACAAGCAGGGTTTATATGCGCGCTCAGTGAAAGTACACAAAAGCAATAATTAAAAAACACTAGGAACGATATACTAAAAGTATTGATATTTATTTTTCTGCCCAAAACAACCATGAAATTTTATTTTGTGTTGATGCTCGTGGAAACAAAACCAGTCAAGAAAATAGTTAAATACACATAATAAAAAAAAAAAACTGATCTAGAGAGGACAATGCTGTAATGTCGCAAGCTCGCCCAACTGATGGCAGTGTGCAGAAAATTGCAGACGTATTTAGAGTATGTTGCGGTGTAATCTAGATATTCATCTGGTCTACACTTTGTTTAATTAAATCATTTTTATTATTGCGTCAACGTACTAATTATTTTTCGCTTTCGAAAAATATTGCTTGCGAGACAAAACGTGCATGACTCTTACAGCTGAAAGGAGAATGAGACATACATTTTATCGCTTGCATGAAAAAAAGATAGCAGGTCTTTTTTTTTCGCCTCAAGCCAGTCCAGCAAAACGTGTCTACGAATGTTAGTGCCCAAGCTGGCCGCACCATATTTAGAGCGGAGAGCGGCGTTCTCCGACTCGGAGAACCGCTGTATTTTTAGCCACGGAGGCACGGGCAGCTAGCACTCTTACGCATACGCTTCGGTCTACACACAGAAAGCTGTAAAACGCAAAAGCACCGTCAACCCCGTATTAAAAAACAAAAACAGACGCCGCATTTTTGTGGCGTTGTTACCATGTCTGTTTCAAAAAAAAAAGAAAGATTAACAACACAATTATACGTTTTTATTGCGGAACGTTTAGACAATTGAATTTTAAACTTTCGATTATTTTCCGAAGTATATGGGTTAGTGGAACTCTGTCACAAGCTTGAACACAAAATTAAAAAAAAAATGCGTTGTATGTCGTTCTTATATGTCTACATGTTTAGTGGCGACACTTGCTCCTGCGAAAGTGGCCACAACCATCTATCTAACACTAACTATCATAGTCGAAGAAGGGACGTTTGAATGATGATCTCACGACTTAGTCTGAGGTGTTTATTAGAACTATAGTGTCGCACGGCGAAGAGGATTTGCTGCGTGTGTAAGCTGTAACAAACTATTTTTGAAGACCCGTTCCTCTCAAAAAATAACTTCTATATAAATCAGCTCTATCACAAACGTTCTTGGCTCGTTTTATAACAAAGATGACAACAGCCTTCAATCAACGGTTAAAGTAATTTATTTTACGTGTTTATGACCATGAATGGTCAAAACGTAAGCGGCACTTTGCATTTTGTTAGTCGCGTTTTTTATTCTTTTAGATGCTTCTATATATAATAACGTATAAAGGAAAAATAATGCGCCGTCTCTTTTGGGCTATTTTAATTTTAATTTTTCTTTTTTAGAAATAAACATTTAATTATAAATTTATTTCGTACTAAAAACTTGAAAAACCAGATCGAAGAAGAGGCCCAACATAAAATTTGATTCTGTTCTAAAAGATCAGGTTTCAATTGTTGTGCTTAACGGAGACATTTTAATATGCTACGTTTTAAGTAGACAAGTCTGTAGCGGACTCACAACTGAAATAGCACGTACTTAAAATTCCAACACGAAAAAATACAAGGCTAGCTTGCACCTGGCGGCGCTTCACGCTCGTGGCCACTCTCAAGCCCGAGCGACAGGAGTGGTATATTAAAAGAGTTCAGTCACACATTGAAATTAACCAAAAAATAGGAGGGTAAATGAGGGGTGTTTCCTCGAACAAGTATCCACCGGTCAACCAAAGATGATGAGTAATAAACTCCACAGGTGATGGTGTGCAAAACCAATGTAACGTAACTAATTTTTACTCAAATAATGCAAGCGTTAAGATGGTTGCTGTAGATGCATTACACACAAAACTAAAACTCTATTATTGCCATTGGAACAACGTTAAGATCTGACCGAAGGCGTCATTGTGGCAAATCCCAAATAAACTGGTATTAAGTGCTACATTTAAGACGCAGGGTAAGAATATCTTATCACTATTCACTGCTATTTTCAATCTAAAAATAAAATAACCTTAGAATAGAGCCTACATGTTTAAATAAGAGCGGTTCCATGCACAGAACAATGTGCACTGCATGATCTTACTGTTACGAGGTATACCTTCTAGCCACACCTACCGAGGGACATCTGCACAGTTCCGATGTTACGTGCAATATCCAGTGGCAGTTAAAAGCTTCACTAACCAAAGCCACATGCTTTTCAAAAGGTTATGTTCCCCTAAAGATCTGACTTGTCTGACGTTGCATGCAACTTCCAGCAACTAGTCTCGATGTTTAAAATCCTATGATCTAAACTTCTGAATTGCTTTGCGTAGCTCATTTGGGCTATGTCATCTGGCAGGCTGTTGGAAAACGAATTCATACATTTACGTCCAAATCAGTTCAAACCACGTTTCATTGATTGCCACGGCAATATTTCAATGGTGCCGCAAACGTTATTATAACTGACAACAATCTTGTTGAGGGTAAGCAAAAATAACGACCCCCTGAGACCAACTTACAGCAAGAATCAAGCTATACGAATAATTAATTCGAACTTCAAAACAATTTGCAGCGCTACAAAAAAGAAACAAAAAAAAAACACGCTAAGAATCTCTTCAACCGCCAAACGGCAATCCTCCCGCTAGCTAAATTATAAAACCGCTAAATTTAGCTGAAAATTTGTGAATTGGCAACACATGACGGTTTCTCGTTTCATGTTATTTGTGCATTTCTTTCTTTTAATCCTTTTCAGTGTTGTCATCCGTTGTTGAAAGAGATGACTCAAAGATTTGTTTCATTTCTTATTTCAGATTTAAGCAACTCTAATAAACCTTCCAGAAAGCAAGCGGCAACATGGGAGAGTGAGTGATTCTTCAATATTGTTTTCAGCTCATCGTTGGTCGGAACCCTATTTTTTATGTAAAAACAAAAACGCTTCTCGGGAAATTGATTTCAAAGAATCATTCCTTTTGGTTATAAATTCTAAAGTAATACGTTGTTGAATACGAATGAATACGGAGTAAATTAAACATATTGTATACGTAAAATTAAATATATAAATCAACCTTTTTTTTCATACACATCCTATAATCGATATATTAATTTGCGACGAAATAATGTGAAATAATATGCTGTTTTCATTGAAACTAAGGTAGAGTTTTGTGCCACTGAGCACGATTTGTTGTTGTATATATAGAGAATCAAAAGACGAGGGCATGACTTCAGTTTCTAGAACTCAGACATTGAGTTGAAGCTTTCACATAACCTGCCTATGACTTTGGCGTAAGATATTTAAAGTTATTAAATACTAAAACTAGGTCCCTTACTTCCCTTGTGCAATATCTAAAATACTTTCATTGCTAGATTAAGCACACAAGCCCATGTATACTTCCCGTTTGTACGGTGGTATCAAGAATTTCAAAGGTCGATTTTCTTCTCTTATTCTTAAGCAGTATGTTATTAAAATTCCCATTGTACGCTAGACGGCGCTGGTCGGTGCTGTGCTTATTTAGCTTACATTACGGATAAAATGTTTTCTGCTCTTCCCGTCAATTGAAGTGTGTTGTTATTTGATACAAAAAATCGCAAATTTACACTACAAATACCTCAGTACCTGTAGTGTAAATCAACTAAAATTACTGTTCTCTTTTTTCCCAATTTGCTTGGTTGCTTTCTTATGCCACATTACGTTTTGATCAGCGAGGTGAGGTTGACTTAAATATAGATACTTTTTGAAATCTCTGAAGCCGAAAGAGAACCTTGACAAGAAACCAAGAGTATAGTGTGCAAAACTGTAGATGTCATCTCCTGTTTTAGAGTTGTTCCAGTCTATAAATGCCTAAATCCACAAAAATGCAAAAATGTCTAATGTGTGTGTGTGTGCAATTTGTAAACGTCAATAGATACTAAACGTATAACGTCAGAACGATTTCAGTTACGAAGAATGCTAATGAGTATAGTTGCTCTAGAAAGAAATTTTACTTGTAACTTTGGCCAGAGTATCATTTTAATCAAAGTAAAATCTTACTGTAAAAATCAGAAGCACTGACACACAAAAAAAATTTGCACACATCTGAATTGAAAGGATATCATCGGCCCTAATTAACAAATTCATCAGCGAAACGAAAAAAAACACACAACAACGGAAACTTCGAAACACCATGTATTTAGCATTAAGTTCTAGTCCTCTATTTAAAGCAAGAGCAATGTTAACTTTTTGTATTGGATATTTAGTGCTCGTCTTATACTCACTTTGTCAGAAAATATATTGTGTAATCATTGAAAGATAGTGTCAAGATGACATTGCAGCTTTTCACAATATAACAATATCTGCCAATAAATAAAGTTAAATATGTGGCGTAAGATTGCGGACTAAGTAGCCCCAACAGGTTCCTGCTGGTCGCTGCCATGGTTTCCTGGTAAGATTAGAATCCTAGAAGTAGTGTAGACGCATGAAATGTAGTGAACCTTAGTGGTCTGAACTACATGTCTTCCGACGTTGCTATGGTAAGTATATTCTATACACTTAAAATCATAAACATAAAATAAAAAGCGACACGGCAACACGTTTTCTCACAACCTACAAATCCACGTTTATTTGTAACATATGAAACAGTATTTTTAGTAACCAAACTGCCGATTTAAACACATACTTCAATATGCAGCTGCTTATCATTCCAAAAATCACTGTAAATTAACAAGCATCAGAAGCACGCTAAAATATCTTAGAATTTTTGTTTTTCTTTTTACTCTGTACATCGATTATTCTTTTGCAGTTAAGCTTGGTGATGCCACTTAAGTTTTTAGTGTTCTCCGAACCGCTTAAAAGAGGCTGTGTTGCGGTGTTGTTGGTGTTTATTATTTTCTAGTTTTATTTTTTAGCCGCTGTAGTTTTTGACATGCGGGCTTGAACAGTTTTAACCACAAGTCTTTCTCAGATCAAAGAAAAAAAACACACATTATTCTGAACTGATCGAGTGCACGACTAATTTGATAATTTGTCTCCGTCTCAGTCGGAAACCGAACGCAGAAGGAGGGAAGCCGAAGAAGCCCACAGGCGGCTGAAGGAAGTATGTCATCCACAGTGTTTCCCAAATACATCACTTTCTGTCAGGACTTATACAAACACAATAATTTACGCTACTAGTGAACACCCTCGAGTAATTTTTTTATACTTAAATTTGTTACAAAAATGCGGAGTGAACGTCCACCTCAGTGAAAAAAGAGAGAAAATATATTGAGGCGCATTGTTTCGCCTACGATGTATTATGATGTAGGGTGCCCGGTTAGCTGCAATGTCGTGTGGTGCGCGGCACAAACAGTTAAATAAATTACTGTTGATAGAATAAAGGTAAAAGACAAGTAAAAAAAAAGCCATTCACGTGTCATCTGAAAGGCAGTGTACGGTAGACAATAATGGTCAAATATAAAATGGACATGTGCGTTCTTCGTAAATAAAAATGAATGTAATATAACATATGTTTTTTTGTTATGAAATATTGGTCATATGAACTTCTTTTTAATAGGCTGATTTAATCCAGTTTTACTGTACGAGAATCACTTTAGAAAACCAGAATTGTATAACTCTGTATATTGCAGCTGATCGTTAGTGACATGGCCTTGTAAGTGGTGGTCCTGGAAGAACTTTTGGACGTATCTCGTTGCTGCGGGAAGATTGCTTTTCAATTCGATAAAACATTAGGGAATCCTATAGTTGTTCTGATGTTTGATAAGAAGAGTAATATTTTTATATTTTTCATTTGTATCTTTTTTGTGTCGCTAAATATGATATTACAATTTTTTTCCTCAAGCTCAACACGAATTCGATTTGACAATGTTCGAAACAAGTTTTAACAATCCCCTACAGGTATTTTCGCCTCATATGTGATTAGTCGAATGTCTTTATTGCTTAGGTAAAAGCTAGGCATCGGTGTTATCTACTTTTTGAAATAGAAAATTAAGTGGCATTGAGCGTAAAATTATACTTTACTCGGAATTTGCGCGACTAGTAAATGGGAACAGAGTGTGTTGGCCTTCGTGAACAAGAACAATAAGAATATGACGCATTCTGCGTGAGGAAAATAACAAAAATTAAAAAGGGTTCTTTCATAAATTTATTCAACAATGTAGTAACTCAATTGTTGTGTGTTGTCTTTCTCCTGTTTTGTGGTTAGTATACACTAGGCATGAGATCATGGCGTCATTCCAGCGAACGAGCTTTCGATAAAATGTTAGGCACTTAAATATATCAATTTACAGACAATTTGAACATGTGGCCTTAATCAACAAAATACTTAATGCTGCAATATGGCCTTAAGCTATTATACCGGCAAAAAGTGCTCTATGTGGGCCATATCCCAAAGGATGCAGCTAGTTAGGGATATTACTGCGCCTTAACTACAAGGGATGGAGTGCCAGTCGCATTTGAGGAATAGTTTTTTGTGGAGACGCATCGGGCTATGGTAGTTCACATCACCTGACGCTAACACTTCTCCTTCAATACTTTTGGGGTCCAACAGTGGCGCATTACTTAATCATAGACGGATCATTCACCTCCGAAGCTGATCTCAAAGTGGTTCTCACTGAAAAAAAGGAGTTCGTTTTACTTGTCTAGAATGTAATACTGTGCACTTCAAGCAAAGCGGCTCAAGGTTCTACTGGCTTCTGCAACACTGCTTCTGAGCTACGCACTGTGCCCGCTGTTCAATGCTAAGCCCTCTGCGGTCAAGGTGACCCCCAGCTGCATGCCTGATTGCTTGCTTCCTTTTGCATCTCTTTGGTCGCGAGTTTCGCCATTTATTTATCGACAACTTTTGCATTCCTTGGTTTGCATGCCTTACTTGCAATTACAAACGAAAATGCAATTATAATTTCTGATTCGCTTTTATTCCTTGGTTCTTAGTTCTAGCAAGGTTCTCATTCGGTTTCTTTATTGTTTTATTGCTGCTTCTGCTTTTTATGATTCTATTTTATTTTTTGTTTGACTTTTCTTGTTTTGTTCGGTCATCCTGCTGCGTTTTGTTTTTTGCGGCTGCTGCACCAGCTCTCCTGAAGAGTGAATAGCTTGCCTGTGGAAGCGCCCGGGCCAAATCGCTTTGCTTATGAACCACATTATTTTTATTTTCACACCAAAACGACTCCTCTTTCTCCCAGATGCTTTTGCTGAACCAAATATGGTGATCTGTCAAAGTGCTTGAACTATTTGCTTCGCACAATTATGCTAGTCTTATGTTATTGCACTGCTTTGCTGAAGAAGAATGCGCAACGTTCTCCTTTCCAGATGCTTGCAGTTTTGAGTGTATCGATAATCCAGAACTTATTGGCAATTCGAAAGCATTCTATTCTTCGATCAAGCAATGACTGCAGCAATATGCCCTAACATGGTAGAAAATTGCAAAAAACAAAAATTAAAATAATTCAACATTCTGCCTGTTAAATGCAACAGGTTGATGAATATTGGAATAATCATAGAGCTCCCACTACCGCTCAAACCAATTGTTGATGTATGTTTCAGGGGGGAAAATGACGCTCTCTTTGATGCACAAAATCCCAACTTGCGTTCTGGTTCTGCTTCCTCTGTCTTATGTTTTAGACGCCATGAATCTGTATACTGCTCCCCGTACCAATAGGCGAGAGACTCCCGTTTCATTGTCCCACGCCTTCGCCAGTAGATGGCAGTGCATCCGCTGATTTAGAGAACGAGTCTAGCTCTATGAGAAGTTCGACAGAACAGAGTCGTTAAAGATGCTACACTTAGGGTTTCGACACTTCATTACCCTACTGCCTTGTGGGCTCCGCCATTTTTGTTGCCTAGTAGAGAGGGATGCAATGGACGATAGCTGCGATTCGAAAATGCGACATCCAAAGCTTTAGGTTCCTGTATCAGGAGGTTCAAGCGAAACCGTTTTGCTTTGTCAGGGACTTTGTCTATGATGCTGGAATGTCAGGAAAGAGTTTCTCGCGATTTTAAATACGAATTCTGACAGCTGGCAGCAAAGAATTTAGGCAAGACAATGGCTGAAGTGTCGTTACTTTGAAGCGCAGCTTCTTTAGTGGGCCTATGCCAGACAATTTTTCTTTTGAGGCTTCTGATTGCAGACAACACCCAGCAGGACATAGCACCCAGTAGCAGAGTGTTGCTACGTGTTTCCGGGATGCGTTACTATAGTAGGGTCCTCTTGGGGATTCCGCCAGGAGGAGAAGAGGAAGATGGAGGAAAAGGAGCGCAAAAAGGCCGAGGTGCGCAAGCGCCTCGAAGAGGCGGCCAAGGCGAAGAAGTCTGGAGGAAAGAGGGGCTTCATGACACCAGAGCGCAAGAAGAAACTCAGGGTGAGTACATAAGCTTGAACAACGCATTTATTTATCCACGTAACAGATAAACTGGTATTCTAGTTTTGTTTATTTCAAATGATTTCGTTGTAGGAAAATGGAACATACACAATCTAGTTACACGTTCATAGGTTTCCCGATTGTTACATCCATGAATGACAGTCCGATTAAAACATATTTCCACCCCTGGTCTTAGGTCTTATCAACATGTAGCAGCTCGCCTGCTTTTTTTTTCTTTTTTCGGTAAACATAAAAGTGTTAAAATATTGTAGACTCTGCTGAGGAAAATGGCCGCTGAGGAGCTCAAGAAGGAGCAAGAAAGAAAAGCTGAACAGAGAAAGAAGATCATTGCTGAGCGCATCGGAGCTCCCAAACCTGTGGACAACTGCAACGAAGGTCGGTCTGACGTATTAGAATGCATGAGTCGTTGGGCTTGACGCTCATTTATTGAATTAGCTTCGCGATTGTGACAATCACCACAGTTGAATGCTTTTGTGCTTTACAAAACGTAATTGGAAAATTTATGATTTTTGTTTCGCTTTTATGTAGTGTAATGTTGAGGCTAAACAGATGATAAGAACTAAGTTCAAGATATGTTTGTGAATTATATATTTGATTTTCTCTTTATTTATATACGGCGACTTTGAAACTTAAAGACACAACAAAACGTCATGTCCCGAATCTCTAAATATTTCTCTTTGAATGATTTGTCAAGTAATTATTATTATTATTACCACGAATGTTAATGATGCCGAAATCTTGCAGCAAGATGCTTGTTCTTTAGGAGGGGACAGCTGAACGCTGAGAATGCGTGTTCTTAAATGCACTATAACTGAATGGAAATTCTAAATATCGTATGTTTGGACACCCGGAAACTTAATTTTTTACAGGCAGTTGTATTGCACAAGAACCCTGTATTATAATCGACGTAAAAGAAACAATAAGAGACCCAATTAATGCCGGTCTAAAGCCGCGTCTAAAGCGTCTAGTCCATAACAAGGTAGTACCCTCAGAAATAGTAAGTGTAACGCGAAGGTAGCGATCTTCAAGTTCCTTCTGCGCAATTGAGTTAGGCCTAGCAACAATTGGCGGAATCCGACGCGTATGCGAAGGTCTTCCCTAGGGTATGTTTTGTTGGCACGAGACACCTAAAATAGTCTCTTCTTTTATTAGGGCTTCTATGTTATTTTCTAGGGTTGGCAGGCAACTCGGCGTGTGACCATAAGTCACCCATTTTACCTTACTAACACTGCTCGTGATCATGCGCCAGCCCCAGTTTTTCTTTTTTGTCAATAAGTCAAGCAGGTGTCCCAGAAGTTATAAAAAAGATATTCATATGGCAGGGACTTTTTGCTACGGTAAGTGTTAGTAGGCTAACCTTTAACAAGCGAAATAGCAAGATTAAAAATAAAAGATGTACTACAAAAAACTTTGTAAAATAAAAAATAAAGAAAGGCATACAATAAAGCAACAATTAATCTGAGTTGATAGTATAAATATGTTCAAAAGTGAAAGGAAATTTAAATATAAAATACTAATAAAACTGAGATGGTACCCCAATATATAAACAAGTGAAAGAATCATACTACGCAGTTAGCGATCTTTCTCGTTAGGTTCAATCACCTTTGCTTGTAGTAGTCTAAAAATAAATTGTACCATAAATTATTTTTGTGATATTTTTTATTGGCTTTCCGAAAGATTGTAAGGTGAAAACTAATATAACTGGAAAGAAAGATGGACGGCGGCAATGTAGGAATTGCTTTGAACTAGCCATTTAAAATATTAAAGGACATCAAACGTTTTCAGGGTGACGACTTTGTAATAACTTTACATTGATAGTGCACAAAAAAAAAAAAAAAACTTACTGCGCAGCTTTTCTATAATTCTAGGAGTGGTTTGACCGTGGCGTTGTCAGGGGAAAATATGTTTATTTTAATTTTATTGACTTTACCTCAAAGGCATTTATCGATGTTTTACATCAGTGTGAATACGAAGAAGTGGAAGAAATCGTGACATTTCTCCCATTATATGAAAAGCCCATTCTACGAGGTAGCTTCAGTCGCCTGCGATGGATTCGCTACATCCAGTCCCAGATCGCCTTGGGTGTGAAAATAAAACAGCAGTTGTTTAATCTTCTCACTGAATACGTGTAGGAATGCGAAAGCATTCGTATACGTAGCGTATTCCTACAAGCTGCGCGCCCCGCTATCCTCTGCGGACGCCGGCCGGCCGGGCTCGGGGGAGCAGCGGGTGTGCTCTGCTGCGGCGGCGCGCGGGAACAGCGCCAGGAGTGTAGGGTGGCGTTCCTTGGAACCATCCCGCGCGCGGACCGAGTCGCAGCCATTTTAACAGCCGTTCAGCGGAGGGAATTTCTCCGTCATCTTTTCGCTGTTACGGCGTGGAGGGAATTTCTCTGTCGTTTTGCGCGGTTACGGACAACGCCGGCTCCGCTCCATGGGGCAGTTAATGCTTTCGAATTGAAGTAAAGTGCCCCTGGCCAAAATCTGCTCAGCACCGCCCCATAAGCAGCCTCGGCGAATGGGCCATTTATAATGTTGGAGGCTGAACACACATGTAAAAAGTATATAACTAGAGGTACACGTCGGGAGTTATATTGTATATGTATATATATACATGGACAATTATCGTAACAATTAAACTGTCTATTCTAAAAATATATTGACGTTAAGTATTACGAAATTTGAAACGCTTAAGATAAATAGGTATTATTTTCATAGCGCAATGTATCAATACAACAATGTTTTTCAGGGTATCCTCCTGGTGCACATTACAATGCAGATTTGTGTTTTAACTTGATTTCCTACGTCTCCTTAAGCTTTTCTTTGTATTGTGCATGCTAACGTTCACTGTGCGTCTCTGTGCGAGCAGCCACACTGCAGGGAATTCTCAAACAGTACCACAGCCGGATAGCGGCCCTCGAGGACGCCAAGTACGATCTGGAGTACGAAGTCAGGCAGAAGGACTTCTTGGTAGGACTCCGAACCATCGGCATCCGCTTGTGTGGCCTGGCTGCAAACAAACAACGCCGAAACAACACCACAACAACTCCGAGACATCGCAAATTCCGCTTAACGGCCTTTTTTACTGAGCGAAACTGAACGAACGGAGAAGATGAGAACGTACGGCGACGTCAGATCGCCAATTCCTGATTGGAAGGATGGTGGGTACACACAAATTTTAGCTGCCTTAGTCTCTACATACTGTCTCCATCCAATCAGAGTGGCCGAGGGCCTAGTCTGTCACACCCAGCGCGAAGAGCAGGCGACGCTGTTGTTCGCCCTGATTGAAGGGAGACATCAGGTAGAGACGAAGGCAGCTGGCTTTTGTATCTACTTACTATTCCTCCAATCAGAGATCGGCACCTTAACATCACTGCGCGCGCTCATCTGCGCCTCCCTTAACGTTTCTTCTTGTATAGAATTAAGAATCCTCACCAACTTTGGTCGGTTCAAGGGCGGACTTCGAAGCAATGGACATCTCGTCGAAACCCTCGAAAAATTGATGGTGAAAAATCAGGAATGAGTTTCGAGAAAAAGGTATAGGTCCAAGACATGGACACACGTAACATCACCAAACATTAAGCAGGGTGCTCAAAAGTGATCCATACCATGGTGTCACATAAATCAAGTAATGTTGACCTTTTCTCGTTAGAAATCCTTAAAGTACAGAAATTCTCAAATATAATTTGTGAAATAAGGAAACGTTTTGCGTTAGCTATGGATGTACACAATACCCCTTATTAAGATACAGATGACTGGTATTATTTAGCGCAAAAATATGTATTCCTTTAAAAATTAATAAAAATTATTATTACAATATCTCTTGAAAACAAATATTTAAGAAGCTAATCGCTTTAATCTAATGCAGAAATTTATTTGTGTATATTTATTTTATAAAGACTATTTCACGGAATATTTCGTTGGAGCATGATTTAAGACCAATTGTCTATTTACACATCAAACAAGAAGACGTGAAAAAGCACAACTTCAGCAAGGAAAACACTTACGTGTGGCTTCTGCTTTGCCAACCAATTACAGCTCGTCTGCCAAGACTACGCCAAGAAACGCTTTATGAAGCCACTAACCGCGTGTCACTCATACTTCGTTTTCGCTCTAATTGAAAATGATCAAACCACCAAAATAACCGAGATATCTCTTGCAGTGTTTTAGTTTGCGTTGTGATGGGTTTGATGGTTTGTTCCTTTAACAAATTGTGTGTTAATGACTTGCGAACTATAATTTAACTGCACAGGTGCATAAATATATTAAAAACGTTTAAACTGCCAAGTTGAGAGGCGAGCAAATTATTGTACATTTACTTTTCTTTTGAAATAGTGTCTGTTCAGAAAATTTTTTTTTTATTTCGAATTTGTTTTTTAATTCCGTCTTAACAAATTATTTAGTTAACATTCTGCGAGTGTTCTATCCTTTAACACTTTTCTCCACGGGAAGTTATGACACTGAAATAAAGTTTATGGCACATTCCCCTATATTGAGTTTATTTTGACAAATTGCGAGTTTTTTAGAGTACTTTGTTTATAGCATCGCGATCTTTTTGTACCAGGCTATGCCTGAATTCTGTTTGATTAAATGTTGTAATTAATTGGCGCTCTGTTCGCTTAGCCGACGTTTTACGATGCCTCGCGCTGTCATCAATGAAATGCTCAACATTTAAACATTAAAACATAAAAACGGTTAGACCCGAGCACTGTTCACACAGCATTAAGAGCCGACAAAAAAATTCTAAAACGTTTTGCAATAAGGGTATTGGATACAACATCAGGGGATACTTCTTCACATTACAAATGGCTCTCTGGACTTTGCAAAAACAACGGGATACTCTTACTAATAAATGCAGTTCTTTAAGTGTGTAGTACAGAAAGATGACCGTACACAACATGTACATGGGCACACCATGCGCAAGGCATCGTAAGGACGGGGCTCGCTTGCTCAAATACTAACTGCTGGGTTGCTTGGTGCTACCGCAACCGCTATGCCTGCTTCCACAGCCGCGCTGATGGCGATCTGCAAAGAATACCACGACAGACTGATCCAGCTGGAAAGCTCAAAATACGACATTGAGTACTTGGTCAGACAAAAAGACTACGAGGTCAGTGGGCCCACACCGAAAACTAGGTCTTGAAGGCTCCGCAGCACGCAGACTGCAGTAGTTGCACAGACAGTTCATTACAGACAGTACATATTTCTTTGCTTTTTTCTTTGCATGTTTGTTGCACGCTTTTTGTAGAAGAACGAAATGAATGGATGTTCTCTATTTCGAGATCGTTACGTTCAAGTAACTTTTTGATAATGCAGAAGTATATTTGTAGGGGTGTTTTTTTTCTTTAGGAAAAGTAGAATAATCATGTGATTCTTAGCTGCGGTGCTTGCTTACCTAGAATATAGAATACTTAAAAATAACCAATTAGGTATAAACATACCCCATGTTTTAATGTCATGTAATTAACAGCTTTTGATTAATTTAAGATATGTAGGCTATCAAGCAACCTTTCCGCGATTAGTCACAAGACTAGGCTTTTATTTAGTTTTAGAAGACTGTATTTATGAACAGGTGTTAGTTCAGAGTAGTTAACTTAGTATACAAATGTTTGTTTTACAAGCATGCCTTTCTAAGTAATATATTTAAAGCTACATAAACAGAAATTATAAACATATACTCGGTAAAAATGATGAAGTTTCAGTTGGCAATATGTGGTGTATTAAAACTCGTATAATTCAACAGATCAACGAGCTGACCATCCAGGTCAACGATCTTCGCGGGAAGTTGTAAGTATTTTATGCGTAATTGAATATATTCCTTATTGCGCTATATAGAGTTACTTTAGTAATATTATTTTTAAGATCTAATCAATATTTTCCCTTTTTACAGCGTGAAGCCCGCTCTCAAGAAAGTTTCAAAGTACGTATTTTTATAAAAGAAATTATTTCTAGACAAATGGTCACACATTAATGTACATGCCATGATATGTATGAACATATAGCTGTTTAACCTCGTGGTGTAATGTTGTGTACTCTAGAACGATAAAATTATTTACAGTACTTCACAATAGGTATTCTAATGAGGGCCGGTACACACGAATATAATAAATCAAGCTTCGGGTTGATATGATTAAGCTTATTTTAACTGAAATGATGAGAATGTTTTATCATTGCTTTGTTTGATAATATGTACCCACAACTTAGTCTTTCCTTTGTCACCATGCCAGGTTGACGAGTACTGGACACTTTATAGAATATATCGGCCTATTTAGAGAGATTTAAACTATAGTTTTATCAGAAACCATTGGCTTTTCTTAATTAAAATAATATTATGCTACCATAAAATAATCTGTGACAAGAAGAATTATTTTAGAAATAAATTGCTTGAAGATCAAGGACACACTGAAAAAACAAGCGCTAACTCTCATGTGTCGTTTTAATATTCATACAGAAGTCGAGATAGAGGTAGCGTTTTTTTCATAAATTTCTCTTCGGCATATACATATATAAAGAAAACTTTTCAAAATTGAATTGTCTTAATGGAAAGTTGAAGTAACATTGGAATAACTGAGAAATAACATAAAAAGGAGGAGGATGATGTCACGTTCAAAAACTGATAAATAGCAGAGAGAAACATGAAGTTGCTGACACTAAACTACTGAAACAACCTCGAGTAGGAAAGTTAATGTGATGAAGTTCTTTCGTCATTTAAAGGGGTCATGAAACGCTTTTCCAAGTTTTTCCTCTTTAGCTGTCCTCCTCAACTCATAAATCCCGCATTCCACCAAACAGTTCAAGAAGACGAAAAGAGGGGAGCCCCTTTTGCTCGGAATCTGCTTTGTGTACCCGGACAGAGCCATTGTCTCCCTACAAGATTAGCCTGTCGCTCAAAATTCAAACAAAATTTGCTTTCCCCACCCCGTTCACCCCGAAGCTGACAGTGCTGTGGAAGCTACGTGCTCGTTGGGCCGGCCAGACTTGCCACGCGACCACGCTCCTTCGCGCGTACCCACACGCAGAGAATGAGGTCAGATGATGAAAGGGAGGCGGCTGATTGGTCCGGCAAGCGCGTAGTTTCCACCACAATGTCAGCTTAGAGGTGAAGGAAATAACTTAGGTCCGGTTTCGTGTGACGTACGTTTGGACCAGATGACGCGCTTTTGGGACCACGGATGTATCACAGTGAAAAGGCAGAGAGCTTACGAAGGGGAGGAGGTACGAAATAGTCCGCTGTGTTTTCAAATTTTCGCGCTGAAAGTCAGACTTTTGACTTTCGACCTTTTTTCTTTTGTTCCACTGAACGATGTGCTATTAGTAAAATCCTAATCTAAAATGATTTGTCCTAACCCAAAATTCGTTTCATGGGCCCTTTAATGCCCCTGATGGTGCACTGACGCAAGAGTTCTTTTCTTTGATGGTCATCGCCTCGTATGGTTCCCTTGATCTCTTCTCACGGAACCTTCGAAGGACCTTTCTCTTTTTCAGAATTGGATTGCAGTGACAGTCTCTCACGTGCACTGCGAGGTACTCCGCTGGTGTTGATTCGAGTGAAGAACCATATCCACGTAACCTGGTGTTAACGCAGCGGCTTGACTGACCCACGTTTACTTTGCTACACATGAAATGTATTTCATATATAACCTGGATTTGCAAGGGTATATGTGTTTGCTTGTGTCTCAGGTCACATTCATTGTGACCGTCTTGTGGGGTATTTATCTTAGGAGAAATTTTCTTGAGATTGTCTGGTGCTAAAAACACAACAGGGATGTCATACCTGGAACCCACCTTTGCTTGCTTGTGTCTCAGGTCGCATTCATTCTGACGTTCCTGTGGGGTATTTATCTCAGGACAAAGTTTCTTGAGATTGTCTGGTGCTGAAAATACGACATCGATGTCGAACCTGGAAGACACCTTTTTATATTGTGTGATAGCCGGTGAATGTACGGAATCACGGCCGGGCGTTGTCCTTTGTACTTGGGTTCTTCTTTCTGTCTGTGAGTGTTGACCATTCTTTCTACAGCATCATAAAAGAGGATGCTTTGAGTTGTATTTGTGCCTCAAAGCTCTGCCCCACCTTGTGGTCACATGTAATCTTGCGGGTAGCGCTAAAACATCTGTTAATAATTGCTATTTTAATTAGTTTTAATGAGAAGACTGGTATTAGAGTAAATGTTTTCTCTATAGTTATACGTACATCCTGCACGTGTGGTTTAGTCGTAATTTAGTCGCAGATCGAGAAATTCAAGGCTGTTGTCGTTGGGTAGCTCGTGTGAGAAGTTGAGCCTTTGAGTATTTTCAGTGAAGATTGCACGTATGCTGCTGCTGCTGCCTTTTTGCTCGTCATTTAAATCATGTTTACTTGTTAGTAGCATAAGATAGTCGTCTACATATCTTTATATTATAGACACCTAATTGTTGGACACCCACTGGGCGATAGCCTGATCGCATTTGGACAAGACTATGTCGCATAACATGGGTACAGCACATGATGATATGCGAATTCTTTTGTTTTACAAATAAGTATATCCGTTGAATGGAGACGAGTGTAGATGCTAGGTAGAATATCAATAGCTCCAATACTGACTCAAGATATAAGTTGAATTTTTTTTTAAGATCATTGCACCATTTTTCTTTATACCTTCTCTTACAGCTACGAACAAATAGACGTGAGGTATTGAATAGAACAAATCTTTCACTTTGAGGGAAACATTTCGTACGAGTTTTTTGATCATTCTTAGAGCACGTGTAACTTTTTTTGTGTTGGGATCAAGACTGAAGTGTCCAGACGGGACCTGAGACACAAGCAAATATATATATATTGCCAAAGCAAGATTATATATGAAATACCTTTCACCTGTGGCAAAGTACACGTGGGTCAGTCAAGCCGCTGCGTGAACACCAGGTTACGTGAACATGCTTATTCACTCAAAGTAACACCAGCGGGGCATCTCGCAGTGCACATAAGAGACTGTCACTGCAAACCGATAATGACAAAGAAAAAGGTCCTTCGAAGGTCCTTTGAGAAGAGATCAAGGGAACTATATGACGCGATGACCATCAAAGAAAAGGAGAACTCTTGTGTCAGTGCACCATCAGTGTCATTAAGTGACAAAAAATTCACTACCTTAACTTGTTACTTGAGGTTGTTTCCGTAGTTTATTGTGAGCAACTTCCTCTTCGTTTCAACTATTTCTCAGATTTTTGAACGTAACATTATCCGCTTCCTTTTTTAGTTATTTCTCAGCTCTTCGAACGTAACGACCTCATCCCATTAAGTCAAGCTTATTTTGGGAAGGCTTTTTATTTACCGAAAAGAAAGACGAGAAGAAAACGCTGCCTCTTTCTCGTATTCCTTATGAACATCAAAACGGCAGTTATAAGTTAGCGCTTGCACCGTCAGTGTGTATTTAACCTTCCGGCTATTTATACGTAATATGCATATCCAACTAGCCCACCTTAATATTTTAGTAAAACAAAATCCTATTTAATGTATGACACGATGTGGTTCCCTCATGATAAACTACAAACACGCATCGCTTCATGAAGCATCAACAGACACATTTCATCAGAAAACGATCTGACTCTCAGTGATACAACGCTGGGTATTTGTGCACGGCAACCTGCAGATTCGACAAGCTCAAGATGGTGGCCAAGAGCACCTCGGAGGTTGACTTCAGGTCCAACCTTAAGTCTGTTAAAAAGGAGACCTTCAAGCTGGACGAGGAGAAAGGACCTGTAAGTGGCATGTAGGATGAATGCACTCGAAGCAGAGCATTACCTAACATAAAAATATGACGACGTTTGTAGTCGCGCGAGTTGGTACATTGTGCAAATGTTCTTAAGTTTCTCAAGTGTTTTTTTTATATTTACCGCACAAAGCGCTGCGTCATTTCTTGTGTAGGTTCCTGCATGACTATATATACCTAATGCATTTCTCATGGAGCATTTTAAACTGTATAGCAAAAACAATTAGTAAGAACAAATAATCAGTTTTAGAGCTTATTTATAAAATTGAAGGCATTCATTTCTGGTTTGCAAAATCTAATTTAATATAATATCTTATTGCGCTACAAAGTAACTCTTACACGTAAAGACCCTGTGTCCGAAGATCCGTATTCAAAATAAATCCCGACATTATTCTGATAAAAAGCTCTTACCATATTACCGCTCTTATTTTTAATATGATTTACTTTCAAATAAAAAAAAATATTTGATGCCTGATTGCAAAAGTCGAACAGCTTAAGACGGTCTGTTTGATCTATCATAAGCTATGATGTTTAGATCACTGATCCTTTCTATAATATTAAAGTGTAGCCGTATTTTTGGTGTTTATATTGGTAATTGATAATTATTTCCAAACCTTGCTTTGGGTAACCTCAAAAGAATATGTAATTGAATAAATAATAATTAACCAATATATTTCTATACTAAATTGCAATAGTGACGTATCTGATTTAGTGACCCTCGAATTTCGTAAGCTCTCTGAAAGTAGTTAGGTAACGCAATCGTGTTTCAAAATACTGGAGCGGCGTCCATATACCATATTTTATGTATTTAGATTACAACGTATATTATAACCTTCATTCTAAATAGATTATGTCATGAATGTGTCAATTATATATAACGTACAGTGTACAACTCTGGGCGGAAGATAGCAAATCTAAAAAGCCACCGGAAATATGAAATCACTTCATTTTGACCGTAAATGAATGGGCGGTGCCATAAGTTCAGTTCACCGTCGAAAGAAGCTTCTCTCTCAAGGCGTGCAGCACCTCGGCTTGAAGGAGCTTGCCACTTGCCTTAGCATAAACATTAAACTAACTTGAAAAGTTTGGTGAAAACCTAAACGATGTAAAGGCGACCGTGCGTTGCCGGCAGCAACGCATATGCGAAGGGATATGGTTTTAAAGAGCAAACAGGCAGGGACGATAGGAAATAACACAGACGACAGCGCCTGTTTCTTTCGTTTGTGTTATTTCCTATCATTCCTGTCTGTTTGAGCTTTAAACCTTATACCTACCATAGAACGGCTAGCCCAAACCAAAGTCCATTAGGAATATGCAAGAATTGGAAAAGACAATTATGAAAAGCCACATTCGGGGACAATTACATGTTGTGCCTTATTAAAAATTGCTTATCAGAAATCGCATTGTTGTTGCCAGGTGGTTGCCGATCCTGTGCTCTGTCGAATAAACTCGAACACTAAGCGTGCGATGTTAGTTTGTTTTTTTATTCGATAGGACTAGTAATGAGAATGCTCCATGGGCTTCGCAATGAACGTGTAAAATGTGGTCTTTCCGCTGCCCCCCAATGCCCAATTTGCCTTTCCAAAACCGGCATGTAGTGTTCGGAGTATCCAATAAAGGTAACTTAAAATGATAAACAATCTTTGTTTAGAGATTTCGCATTCACAAAGCGCTGATACTTGATCACTATTTGACTAAATTGACTTACTTCTCCAAAGTCAAAAGAAAGCAGTGGAGAGATATGCGAATTCAACCCGTGTTGATATATTTGCACTAAAGACAAGCATGAATTAAATAGAAGAAAAACATGCAATTTCTAGTTCACTTAAGTGCCCTCTGAAGTAGTGCACATCATGGCAGAACCAAATATGTATAACAGAACATAAGCAAAACAATGCCGACCGAAAGTTCGTCTTCTTCTTGCATAGTGGGGGCGATACGGTCAGAACACCGAGTTCTTATTGACTGATTGATAAAACAAAATAGTAGCTAAACCTCAAGGCATCTAGCATTGTGGTCTACCCACTATTACGGCGCCGTTCCGACGCCACCGTAACCCCTGCGCAAGGTGCAGACAACTTTCCCTCCGGATATAAATTATTTTAATTATTTAAGAAGACCAACTCCTAAAGTGTTTTCTTGCTCAATAAGGAGCTGTTCCTACTCGCCCAGACTACAGAATTACTTCTCATGATTGGAAAGTGCACGTACAAGTTGTTCTGTGGCAATAACATTTAGAAGACAAGATGTGCGCAGTACTGTATTGTTACTCCATTTCTGCTCCGCCTAACGTGGCGAACACGTGCGTCTTGGAGTCAGCGCTTGCTGGCATTAGACGCCCATGAGGCAACGCAGGTGTGTAATGGGTTGCTTTGGGGCATCTACTAGCGATGACGTTGGAAAAGCAATGGCGCATGTCCTGTCTTCTGCACTCACCGAGAGCTTTAGGAACACAAGGCGTGGGGAGTGTCCGAGCATCTTATTGTCGCTCGGCGCTCAATGAACCTGCTGTCTTAGTCGGTATTAATACCGAAAAACAAATAATAAATCAAGAATCCCAAACAGAATGAGTTACGCCCGACGTTTCGTAAGCTCTCAGTGCCTTTAAATGGTATTTGATGCTCTTTTTCAAGCATAGATGTGCTTGCGTTGAGAACTTCAGGAATGCGTTTTCTCTTCTTACTCTCCAGGTCAGGAAGGAAGTCCCAGAATGGGCCGCCAAATAAGAGGTTGAGAAAGCCAAACATCGTCCCCTAACTATAGACACAATTCTAATATCGATCCCAAAAGAAAACTAGAAACGCTAACAGGCCCCCCTTGTTCAAATGTACAAATAGGCAGCCTGTTCTAAAATTGCCTCAAGTACCAAACGTAGCATTCGAAAGTTTTCTTATCATCTGCCCTAAAGTTAGACAATTTTGCGATAAACCCGACAGTGCGGTCCATCAATGTCTTTATGAAATATTTGTTCGAGAATCCGAAACGTCCTTTTCAACTTTAGAGAGGTTTCGTTTTTGATGTTTTGGGCGAAGTCGCCGATTTTTGTGCTTACGGCTACTTTCTGAAAAACGCTTTTTGTGATCCCAGTTTGCGCAAGGCGTTTTTTATACGTTTGCCATAACAACCAGCTATTGGCATGAGTTTTGTTGTGTGTTCTTGGAGTGGTGCTCCGGTTTTTATTAAATTGCCTTCTCGCCGTGTAACACCACGCTCGCTCGTTTTTTGCAGCATAAACATATTGCTTTCTTTTGCGTACGGGTTTGATGTTTTGCTTTTTTTTTAAAAACTGGCAACGTTGGCGGTAGTTGGAAAGAGTAGTTAAAAATGACAACACACCAAATGTGTGTTTTTTATAAACATCTTAATAAACACAAAACAACATACATATACTAATTATTTATTAAAAACACAAATACATTCATCTTACATTCATTCAGTTACACAAGCCGTGAATCATAATGGTATGTACCTTGCTAATAAAATTATTTAATCAGTTTATTCAGGCCGCAAGGAAATCAGTCATAAAACGAACGTCGCAAACATTGACCGCCAACAAAGCTATTGTTTTGTGCTTTCTTCTCTGGCAGAACTGTGGATCCTTTTTAACACCCCCGCACGCCTTTCCCTAGCTTAGAATGAATACACCTTATCATTCCTTTTTCCCGATGTTCCTTAAAGCCTAAAGTTTCCCACGAAAGTTTTCTTTAATTGAGAAGCGAAAGTTTTAGTTGTATCATAAACAGAACAAAATCTGATATCACAGATAGATCTCAGGAGTAATTGTAATCCCCGCACGACACCAAAATCTCATACTGAAATTAGGTTTGATCCTTCATCGGCTTCGAATGCTTAGTGTGCTCCTGGCATCACGTGCAACCAAATAGGTGAGACGGTTGCATTCTCCAATATTTGTGACATTAAAGTGGCATTAGAACTTTCTTTGTTTCATGAACGCTGTACTGTACATGCGCCAATTCTTAGAAAATTCGAGCTCTCATGCCACAAATTTTTACGTTGGTTGTGGCACACAAAAGAAGGGCCTTTGGTAAAAATTTTACTGCTAAAGGTCAACGTGAAACTCAAATGTCATTACAGTTTCTCTCATTTAGACCAAAAGCAAATTGCCACCGGAGCTTCTTCAAATCTAAATAAAATATGAACTGAATAAGTGCACCGGTGAACTAACGACTATGCAAAGGTAGTGCCTTTTTGTGAAGATGTGAATGTTTGTTTCATGTGCGATAAGAGTAGGATAATAACATGAACGTATGCATTTTATGTAGACAGCGAGGCACTATGCAATATGGTGCAATATGGTGTTAAGCTTTCATAGTGTAAACCATACTCTGCACTTTTAAGCAAAACCTGGACGGTGTGCTTTCAAGTGGAATAAAATCGAATAGGTAATAAAACCCGCAAAGGAAAACATACAGAACTTGGTCGAGCTTCAGTAGAAACTATTAAAAATATCAAATATAAAACTTTTGTTGCAGGAACAGTAATACGCTGACTGTGACGCAACACATCTGCATAATTCAATACAATATTAATCATGTCTTGTTTTCATCGTGTGGCAGATTGAAATGGTGTGAATGCATGCGCTTTATTTGAAGGTTTCGCTAACACCTTTGCAAGAATTTTCACGCCCCGATCGTCATTCTGGTCATATTATACTTTTAAATTACAATATAAATATTTTTTTATTTGCGAATTAAAGCTGATAGAATATAGTACAAGTGATTTTGTTAAGTCTAAGAGTCTCAGGTATGCATTATTTTAAGAAACAAAACAAATGTAGAACATATTTGCCGTAAAATAACTACATAGTTGAATGTATTACTCTAGACAGCGGCTCCAAGTCATGGACTGACTCATTTGTTATAATATACAAAATTACGTTTTTCTAAACTTTCATCTTATTTTGACATATTGCAGGTGGACAAACCCGAATGGGCCCTTGGAGCTAAGAAAGAGGCAGAGGAATAAAAAAAGAAAAAGAAAAATGAAGAAAAAGTGTCGCAACTTCGACGTGGCACCATCCATCGAAGACAAATCTCTGGAACAAGTCGGCGTGACATGCAAACTACTTTGAAGATGGCAACTCAAAATACAATAAAAAAAACGATTTCTCACATATGCGGGCTTATATATGACGCATCCCGGCATGGAACGCTAATAAAAATTTTCTGAATTTCCAGCAAAAGAGGCAGGAACAATATCACCATGAGCCCATGTGTAACTTGCGTTTAATAAAATATATTTGCCCATGTTAATGTCGCCGGTTACTTGTAAATCTTTGACGAACCACGTGAACAGATCATGTTCGATGGATTGTTTAGTTGACGTTTCAGGTTTGTACCTTATGTCGTTCAATATATTGATTGCTGTTGAGTTAGCTTTGGCTACCCTGCTCGGAAATTTGCTGTCTTTTTTATGAAAGTTTATCAGCAATAAAATTACAGCATTTTTAAAACAGAAGTCTATGCTTGTACCTTGTCAGAAACACTGAAGAAGGGTCAGGTTTCTTTGCTGGACCTTCAAGTTGAAAGTGCGAAACAGTGTTAGTTACGTGCTGTTAAACTTAGTGGTATACGTTCGCTGCCAATGGTGATTTGAATGTCATAGACTGTGCTACGCTCGCAGATCTTGCTTGTGTAGAAAGGGTTAATAACAACGATGTTAAAGGAATGCAGCTGTTATGCGGGAAGTATAATTAAACATTGTGTAATTTAATATTAAAATTAAATGAGATTGCTACGCTTGCTTTTCATATTTCGAACACGACAAGGATATCTCACTCTAAGTTTAATGGGGTTTAAGTTTTAGGATATTATTCAACTTTCCATGCTTGAAGCACGCCACGAAATACAACGGTGAGTTGTTTGTGTACAGAAATGTTTTTGTGTAAATATTGTACTTTATGCTTTTGTATATAACGTGTTTTGAAAATCATAAGGCTATAAAGCTTCACCTAATCCCAATGATTTCTTTCATTCCAACACTTAGGTGAAACCATCAACGACTATCTTTTTTCGGGATTGGAGAAAACATATTACGGTTTTGTGCGAAAAGCGGATGGTTCAACTTTCACTAGTAATTAATGCTTTAGAAATAATGACTAATGTTGTTCTCGCTTTAGACCCATGATGATGCGAAACATACTTGTTTTGTTTTGGTGAAAACGCAAAGTGGCTTACACTGCGATTGCGCTGGCTGTCTTATTTGAAGAAACATGTCAAATAAAACGTTCGTTTTATAGTCTGTATGAAGAAAATAATTACGATAGATATATAAAACGCATTTATCCTGAGTACTTTGACCAATGTTCAGTGATGCAGTTTATGATTGGCTTCCGCGTAATGATGTATTGATAAGCACTGAGTTCTTTAGGAGACTGAGAACTTGAGAGGCATATTTTTTGTAACAGAAAATATTAGGTTTAAGATGAGAGATTTTTTTGAATGCTCTACGGCTAAGTATGAATCCTACGCAGCACAAAATGTTTCATAAACGCATAAGATAAGTCAATAACGAACGTTCTTCTAGAAGATATTGCCATGTTCCCAAGATGTCATGTAAGGAATCTTAAATTTTCACAGAACTGTAGACAATGCACAGTCAAGCCACCTTCAAAACAACCATCGTTTTATCTTTTTATTTGATCTTTCTTTTGTTTGGTCACTTTGTGCTGTAAATCTCATTCTGCCGTCTCCTAGTCCGATAAAACTGTAACACTACGTCGTGCCATGAATGGTTAAGCTTTCCTTAAAATTCGAGAGACTGGAAAAATTGCGTCGGGGAAGCGCCTCTGGTATTTTGAAAAGTTAAAACGGCTTATAAAGACCCTTCGTCCCTTCGCATGCGAGAATGTTTTAGGCATTAAATTTGTATTGCTATAAAACAAAATAGCTGAAAACAAGTCATACAGTGAAAGGCCTTCCATAACAATGTAAAATGGAAGTTCAGAAATGGCGGGCTGTAAAAAAGCGTGATTAATGGCGTAAGGTGACACTGCTGGGAAGTGAGACAGTTACATAATATAGCGAAATTTTGGTGTGCTTCATGTCAGGTGCCCTAGAAAGCCCACCTCTTGTTTATGCCGAGTTTAAGTTGAACCACTTTTTTAATGAACGAATCTATTACACAGTCATATTCTAAGTAGCGTAGTTCTACGCGATATTTTGTTTGCGAGAAAGGACAATGATTGATACTGTCAAGTATAAGCACTGAAGCGGGTGCTATTTTATTCCTTAAACTGTATTTTTAGAAATGCAACATGGATGAAAAGCTTGCTAAAATATTGGTAAAATATATATGACACAAAAACCTAACACTTCAGACTGATAGGGTGGTCGCGACAATTAGATTTAGCATAAACCAGGATACTCACAGGCAACGATTTTAATAAGAACAAGTTAAAAAAATATGGGTCAATAACTGACTGTTCGATCACCAAAGACGCTTTATGCGGTACGAATGAAAGCGACTAGACTGGAGCCGCACTCCATCAAGAATGCGGATTGAAAGGTTTTGTTGTGTGTCCTATTTGAAGCTTAACTTAATTGCGAATGAACTTGATGAAGGAGGGAACACGTTCACCCACTTCAAAAATTCGAACAGCGCACAATTCCTTGACCCCAAAACTAAATGAGTCCACGAATTTACTCCTCTTCCCTACCCAAAATAAGCAATGAAATCGAACTAAAGCCCCACTGTGCGGAAAAATAACGACATTTATCGAAGAGCACCGCTTGCTATCTTGGGGTAATCATAATGGCGGATGAGTTACAGATAGCAAACAACAATGTGTTAAGAGAAGAATTGACCTTTCTAATTCTTAAAGATAAAATAAAAACGATAACCAGTAGAAATATAACGTTGCGTTTTGTGGTTGCGACCTTAATGGCAGACCACAGATCTTCGTAATCAAAAGTATGACTCACAAACGGATCCACCATTTTGAGCCAGCGCTAGTCAAGACTGGTATGCGTTATAGTCATTTGCAGTTTAGAAAACGCACTACAAGTTTTATTAGCTTCACTCTTCTTGCATCGTTCGTCGGCCTTCTTAGAGCCTTTTTCCGCAATCTGCCTGCGCACGAGTGCGAATCATTGATTAGGTGCTCAGGAGTCTTCACGTTCTGCTTCTTTCATGCTGTCAGTAAATATACCGCATACCCTTATCTGACTTTTGTGTCTTAACGCCGTCTTCACATTTTGTTTTGCAACGATGTCGGTGATTGCGTCAGACCAACAGTAGTGCCGTTGCTATTGGAAGTTCTTTCTAAATAAACCTCATTACAATCGGGAAATTCAATTTTCCGTATGAAAGCGGTCAGTAGTCGACGCACTACAGTGACTTGACTTCTAATGGCAAAACATACAGTAACATATCTTCAGTAACATATTAACGACAAGAAACCCTCACTCAAATTGAAGTAGCTTGTCGTTGTTGTAGGGCCTTGGCCGCGCGACGTCGGCTACAGTGGAGCATCTTTTAAGGGCGACAAAGGCTGTTCAGTGGTGCTGCTCTATCGTAGGCTATAGAGAGCCATGCTGTCCCTAGCTTGCAATGCCTTCTAAGAGCCCCCCCCCCCCCCCTCCACCCCCTCCACGTCCCTGGGCCATTTCCTCAAGGACTGTCGGTAGTCCACACTGCTGCCGGCAGTTGAGCACTGTCTGCACAGTTCATCACCGACAAGCCTAAAGCCCTTACACGAGGAAGGTTTATCACTACGAAATGAAAAGACGAGAGAAGTTGTATCTGAAGAGCCGGTACCTTGGTGGTAAAGATTGGGCGAAGATAAACAAACCAGCTTACCACTTCTATGCATCCCTGCGTTCCGTACATGGAATGCAGATAGGAGTTGATAATTGGGTTTTGGTTGTGGGTTTTTCCATGTAGGTTGAAACACTGATGGTCCGAGTCATATTTTTATGTATTTTGCATACAATATACACTATAAAAGTCATGTGCTTGGGAGAAGCACTCAGCTATGCATACAGGGTGTTCCACAAAACGCGGGCCATATCGTTCCTGCAAAAAGTACGAATTGTACAGAAAAGGAGTCGTGCAATATTCGTCCCTGGAAAAGGGAAAAAACTAGAAATATATAGGTTTTCGATTGATTTAGGATAATAATATTTTGTAGTAGTTAACTTTATAATATTTAAATATAAAGATATAATTTCAATTAAAAACATGGTACGCAAATTGAAAATAATTAAATCCACCTACATTATAAAGATAATTAGGCATGCGCAGCCTTCACGGCGCGCTGTAGAATTAATTTGTCGTGTTTTGAAAAAATAAAGAGGTGGAGGGGAGCGAACGCGAGGAAACACAAACATAAAGGTTTACTGGTGCACCACAACTTTTTATGCACTACGATAGAGCAGTACCGCAGTACGGCCCTTGCCGGTTCTTGAAAATGTCTTTGGATCCGACGTCGTGCGGCCAAGCCTCTGTATAGCGAAGACAAGCTAGCTCAATCTGAGTGAAGGTTTGCTGTTTTTCTCCTAAAGAGGTCATATGGTACTCAATGTTTGACACCACAAGGTAGCTCAAATCACTGCAAAAGGTTAAGGAAAGTTGTAAATAATTTTTTTATGTTAACGTGAAATTATATTACATTTATAAAAATGAGTTTCATTTTTGCATTAATAACGCAAACACAATAATTTGAAATATCATTTGTTTCGATATTTGTAAAAGTCATTAAAGAAAATTATTTTAATATTTTCTGCATGTTTTTATATCTAGTAATACGTTGGTAAATATTTTGTGAATGTCTCTCTAAAATCTCTTGTTTGACGTGATTCGTAATAATTGTTTTTGCCAAGAAATATTTTATGGTATTGTTTTATATTCCGAGTACATGTTGTAAACTATTAATAAAATAAGAGGAAGCAAATATTACTACGTGCATGGTTCGATGTGAAATTGACGGTTGTGCAAAATACCATAGAGAGACCTTGGCAATCTCAGTGCCTCGAGTGTCGAAAATTATTTCCCTCTGGAAGAAAATTAGCTACGGCTTTTGCACATAGCGCTGTGCGGCCCAAGTTTCGCCCCGCATACGCAGCGCCACTCCTCCCACTGACGGGGAGCGCCCTTACGTGTTAGCGGTACGCCATGCGGTACGAGGAGCAGACGACGCGGGAGGCTGGTGCTCTTGTGCTGGCCTCGCGCTTGGTCAAGTAATGTACCGAATGCAGAAGGGCAGGTCACCAGGTATTGTCGTGTGGTCATATTCCACAGCACCTGTTTAAGC